ATCTTCCCTACTTTGTAAACCTTTCATTGCTTTTTGCTGCTCTCTTTTTCCCCCCCCCCCCCCCCCTTTTGCCCACACAAACGCTTTTCTTTAGATATTTTTTTGCCTTTTTCCCCCCCCCCCCCCTTAACTATTTCTAAAATGGGTTGTAGCCCTGTTCTGAACATAACTGTCAAAGCTTCCATCAATAATGGAGCCGAATTATCCTCGTTAACTTCAGCCCAGGGGAACAATTTGTATAGTGGGGGTGCTGAAAGCCATTGACTGGAACTGTAAACCCTGTATATGATGGAAACCATTTCAAGCCACGAGATGCTGCCGCACCCCTAGTTCCAGCCCCTATGCTTCAGTATGGTAGGATACAGCCTGTGATGGATAGCCACTGAAGAGGAATGCAACATAGAGCATCTATATACATAGTAAATAAACGGAGTTGGTCTAAACTGCTCCCAGTTGAGAGTTTTATTATTAACTTAAATGGGAGCAGAGTTTGGCCAATACTGAGTGCTTTTGAAAATCTCACCCTTAATGCCTCTAATGTACACAAGTGGAATTGCAGGAGGGATAATGGGACAAACCTAATATTTGGATGGACTAATACATACATGGGGCCAAACAGTCCCGTTGGGTGAAATCTGGTCCCCACTGAAGTTAATGGCAAAGCTGCTGTTGACTGCGGTCAGGCCAGGTTTTCACCACTTGTTTTCAGGGATACTACTTGTGTGAGTGAAGCGAGCAGGGTTTGGCCCACATGTTCATTTACGTATTTGAGAGGGTTAGGAGTAGAGCTGGCTGTGCATGTGCCATCAGAAATATTTTCTGACCAAAAATGCAGTTTCCACAAAATAAAAATTTGTCATGGGAAAATGTCAATGTTGCCAGTACAAAATATTTAGTTTGACCTAAAGCAGAATATTTAATTTTGATGAACTTATTCAAAGCCTTTCATTTCAAAGTTCAACAAAACTTTACCCTGTGTTTCCCCATCGGCACATTGCCTTACAGGAGCTGTAGTTCCGGCTCGCATTCTCTCCTAGGGCCAGGCACCCCAGAGGACTACATGCCCCATAATGCAATGAGGATTTCCCTCTGACCGAGCTGTGTGGTCCATCATGGGAGATGCATGAATCTGGGTGCATCATCGGGCATGTTGTCTAGCCATGGGAACCTGGCCCAGAGGCAAGAACGGGGGGTATCTGGCTCCCAAAGAACAACTCCCATGGGGCAACACACCACTGTGAAGAATGTGGTTTAATATTGGACTGACTTGAAACAAAGACTTTCAGGTCAGTTCAATAAACCAAAACAAACATTTTAATTTCTGGAACGTTGAAATATTTCGTTTTGATGGAAAATATTGAAATGCAGCATTTTGATATTTCCAAATAAAAAATGTTCAGAGCTTCTGTTCGGTGAAAAGCTTTGAAATTTCAATTTTTCACCTTCTAGCTTAAGTGGTGATGAGCTTTTGAAGCAAG